CATAGATTTATGGGTTTGATCTGAAATTTTTCAGATACTGCTTAATAAAATAAGACACTGCATTAGTTGCAGTAGTAAGGATTGCCCAGTTTAGGGCATGCCACCTGCAGTGTACAGAGGGATACTTTTAATATCATATCCTCCAAACAATCTCCTTGCTATTTCGGGGCTATGTACTGTTAAGAGTCAATGCAATTACTTCAAGACAACTATGGAAAATAAAGTAAAACAAGTGCAACAAAGACTCCACAGCCACATTTAAAACATCTCAATCAGCTAATTAAAGCACTGGATCACTTACAAGTAAGTATCTGGTCTGTCAAAACAACTCTAGTGACGAAGGCCCCTGAGTAGCCATCACAGTGAATTCCTGAATGATTTCAAGTTATTAAGCTAGTACCCTTTTAACTGTCAGCTACTGCTGAAGTAACTCTTGCGGGGCTCCAACAGATGTGCAGGCCCACAAGTAGCCAGGGAACTTATACTGTATGGGCTAGATGAGTTATGGGTGCAGAATCAAAGGAAGTAGAAGGATTATGACACTTGAGCTCAGCAAATGGGGATCAGAAACTGGGACAGATTCTAAAAGATGCGCCTTCCCAGTCCTGTCTGTGTGGGGAAGTGAGTAACCATGGCTGAGAAACCTAGCTTTTCTGCTGGCTGTGCAGTTTGAAATACTTGTATTTTTTGTTTTTAAATCTTATTCCAAATTAGGCTGAATTAGAAGAGAAAAAAAATACAAAACACAGTGTCTCCTAAATAGAGTGGTAAAATCTGGTCCAGAGAAGATAATTTCATCCAGGATGTTCTTCTTTTTGCCTGACCAGCAATTCAGCACATGGTGTTCTAATCTATGTTCTTCCACTGAGAAATGAGGTACAGAAGCTCTGTTACCACCCAGATGATGGGAACAGTATAAGGAAATCAGAAACTAAACATATAAATGAAAATCAAACAAACATTACTTAAGTGGATAAGGAGTACATGCTGCTAGTGGGACAGAATACAGTAAAGAAATTATCTTGGCTTAGCTAATTTTGGCTGCAAAATGTGAAGTGTTCATAAGGGGGAGAAATTTTTAGATTGCTACTTGGGACTAACGGTTACAGATTTCTACCTCAGAATGCCAGTGAAGATAAAAACAGGGTATAGTTTGCTTAAGTAACGTGGAGTAAATCTCAGCAATCCCGATGATAATGAAGATGAAATGAAGATAGTGCACAAATAAATGGTGATAGTGTCTGAAGTGCTCTTGCTTTGCTGAGACATTCAGCTTTTAATCCTATTTTGTTAATGCCAGAAGATGAAAAAAGAACTATATAATGTTATAGTACCTACTTTCCAGTAATGTGGGTCTGGGTGGGTATGTAAATATTATGAAGCATTTTCCCTCATTTAGGAGCAATTACTTCTAAATTGGCAGCTATACTGGCTTTATTTTTTTTGAACAATGGGACAGAATAAACATATACTGTTAAAAAAAAAAAGAGATGCACATCATTCTTTGAAAAAGATAAGGCTTGTAAATTGTATTAACTTATTATTTTCTTCATTATGGGGGCTTTGATGCATGATAAACAAATAATTTAGGAAAAAATCTAGGTGTAACCTCTAACACAGGAATGTTGTAAGTTGAAAATATTTATGGCTTTTAATTTCAACATGAGTATTTAAAAAAATGGAATCTCAATAAAATCCCATTGAAAGCATGATTTACTTATAGACATAGGATTCCAAATCATTATAAACAAAAGAGCAAGCAGTATAATGTTATGCTGTTTATACTTGTTTTAAGCTTTCCTAAGCTAAAACTTGACATTTTATGTTTTTGTGGGTGTATTACTGACGAAACATTACTTTGCAGTGAGTATAATTGAATTTGATTTACAGACCTATTTATTCTTAAATACTTACGTTGTTGAAAGCATTTTATTTTAGTTAAAATTATACCAGAATCAAAGTTGCTTAGAGCCAAATGATCAGTTAAAAAAGCTAGAATGCAACAATTTTCCAAAGTCTTTTGGTAGTAGTAATTCATATACTGTAGCAACAGGGATTGCTAGACAGTATGAGCTGTTTCTCTCTGTAGATCCTAAGCAAAGTTCAGGAAATGTCACAAAGCATTTAACATATTCATGGAAGTTCTCTACAGCAGGACTTCACTTTCTTATGCTTTAAAGTCTGCCAAGTTCCTGGGTACTCTCTTCCCCAACATATTTACAGGTGGACTCTTGCTTTGCAAAGGTCTTGATGACTATCAAAGAGGTCAATACAAGCACATTTTCAGATCAGGGGTCTAGGCAGGTTTTAGAAATATCATGGAAATTATTTCAGTTTGTTTGAATTTTGGATAATTAGAAGCCAAGGCACTGGGATTCACTTTTACCTTTCCTATATGGTACAACATATGATCACATGTTCAAGACAGATGTCATGATGGGAAAATGAGCATGCATTGATACTATTCCACATTCAGTAAAACTTATAATGGCTGATGTAGGATAGAACAAGAGACTAAAAAATAAAGACTTTGTGTAATTATTGTAAGAATACTATAATAAAAACCTTGTTCCAGGAAGTTTAAATTGTTTCAACAATGTGTAGCAAACATATTTTGTTATACAAAGCAAAAACACAACTAAGTTATCGAATTTACACAAAGTCAGATATCTGAAAGGGGATCTTTTAAAAAAAAACTTTATTTGAGAAAGGAAGAGACTTATATCAGAAGGCAAAAAAAAGGGAACATACAAACAGAATATATTTACAACACAAAACAAGAAATCACCTCTAAGGGTGTAAATTATAATAAATACAGTAGATTTAAAATGTAAGAGACAATAATCAATTAGAAATATGGTTGTTTAAACCCAGTTTTCCTTTTCACTGGTTCCAGGTAGTTTCTCTTATTTTAATTTTATCCAAATTTGAAAGAATCTGAAATTAAAGTCCACTAATGTATTGGGCTTTCTCATCTGAATGACATTATAAAAATATCTTTTGTCTTTTGTGAATACATGTCTTTGAAGTGATATTGTACAAAATTCTTCTCAATTGCAAGTTTCTCCCCAAATGTATTTTAAAGATGCACTATCCCTTTTAGATAAGGCTGAAGTTAGATTTCAAAGAAAATTAAAAATACACAGAATGGGAAACACATATAATTTTATTCTACATCCTTCACTTTTTGAATGTGAATGTGATTTTTTTCATCCAAGATAGAGAAAGATTTCTGTTCAAATATGAAGCACACATAAAAATCACCTGTGTTTTCCCAATTAATAAATCTTTTCTATTTATTGAGGCCTTTCATGTTAACAGCAACTATTTAGTCATTTGTTTGGAGACCTTCTAGGAAAAAGGATAATGTATCTTTTTAGAAGCTGCAACATTTTAGAAGAGATTTAATCATATTAGAGCATAATGTAAATAACACATGCTAATAACATATTTTAGAACAATTTCTACATTTGGCAAAACAGCTATCTCTTTTGAAACAGGATACTGCACCTTAAAATACCTCAGCTTTAGAAATATAAATATTTTTAATAGAAAAAAAACCTGACAAGGAGTCCAGGTCAGTTTGGGATTATCCATATTAAAGGGGATCTTAATACAATGAATCTTTAACTAGCTTAACAAAAGTAAACCTATAAAACAAGGTAAACATATCAAAAGGGAATATGAAGGAAATGTTTCACTGGAAAGCTTCCTTAACAATTTCCCTACTCGCTTTGTTATTTTCTTTGACAATAAATCAATTCATAGAGTGCCTTTAAAAACAGAGGGAGCGCTGCCCCGTCCCCCCATCTCCCCCCAGCCCGCATTCCTCAGCACATGAATCACTTGGGCTTCCTGTTTCCATAAGGCATTTCCTGCCCCCCCTCCCAAAATCACTTTTCTGCAGGAGAACAGCAGGGACCTGACAAAGCATTGACTTAAATAAACAGGGCCTTGCACAGCACCCAGCCTTGCTCTGCCTGATGGTACAAGGATGGAAAGGGACGCCAGCTCGAGGGCTGCACACACGCACTGCGCCTCTCAACTCTGGGGAAAAGCTCCCAGAGAAGCTGAATGTGCCCTTTGTCAAGGTGGCATTTTATGCACAGTTGTTATTTTAGGATTTGTCCATGAGACCCTGGTAGGAAAGATTATGCAATATTTTATGATTAGTCTTCATTTTAAAATAAATAAACAAGTGATTGGATATCAGATGATAACGATAACATATCTGTACTTTTCGTGCAATGTCCTAATAACTGACTGGAGCCTAATGCTGCATTTTGCTTCTCACCAGTACTTTCATCTGCTGCATTTAAGGATGTCTCTGAGGACATTATCATCAAATAAGACAGAATGAAAAATTAACCAAGCAGTGCAAAAAAAGAAAACAATGCAATTTTAAAACAGTGCCTCGCTTTGCCTCTTTATATCCACCTTGCACTTTTCTCTAAATTAACTTTATACATCAGCCTGGGACCACTGATATAGCAGTCAGTACCTGTCTACTGGGGAAAAAAATACCCTAATGTTAACAGTGTTCAAGACTACGGTATGATACAATATATACAGACAGCTGAAAGCAAAAGTCAGAGGATTCAAAATCAGAGCAGAAGAACGTTTCATCAATCAGGTCTGGAAACTAGTTCCAGCAATTGCTGATCTCAACAGGCTAAGTGATACAAGATCTCTTTCACTAAAACTAAGCGATGTAAGGTAATTCTGGGTTAATACAAAGTCTATCAGCTATTACGCAGATATATGCAGAATAATTGACTGCAACAGGTAGTTTCTCAATTAGTGGCCATAAGGATGAACTTCACTATGTTTTCAAGTGTACATACAACACTTCTGCACTTGTTAAACTCTTTGAACAGCAAATCAGGATTTGCTAGGTCAGTGAATCAAAACACAATTGCTTATCAAAGCCTAAAAAATGCATGTGATGTTCAGATAATAACCTTAATTACAAATCCTGGAGCTAAATCTTTGCCTATTACCTGTTGCATAAAAGCAGCTTGCTCCCCAGATTCCATTTGCTGGGTTTGAACATCCTCATCACTGTCCAGTGGCTCCTCTTTGACTTTCACAGCCCCCACCTGCTGTCCTATTCTGTCATCCACACCAGCACTGCTGCTCTCAGCCCTAATGCTGGCACCGCTGGCACCGCTGGCGGGAGCTCGCTCTTCCTGCATGGAGTGATCACCGTGAAGCTCTTCTTCAGCTTCCTCCAGCTGACTGCCAGGCTGCTTGAGCTGCTCAATGGACTTAGAGAGCATCTGGAAAGAGAAGAGGGAAACAGTTACTGACTCCTTTCACTTTTGCCAAACACCAAAAAGTACTAGATTTGCAGGGACAAAATTAAAGCTTCTGCAGCAAACCCATGTAGCTATGCACTGCCAAAGTATTGATGTATAGGGAAAAAAGAACAAAAGTCCCTAAGCAAAAGGTCACTTCTTATTCTGCAGTAGAAAATACCATGTATATGAAGTGCTATATAATAATAATAAACTAAAAATAAGGCAGAATAATGAAAACATCTGTTAGACTGTTACAGCTGGTAATCAAGAAAAATTTCTCTCCCTTCATACTCTTCAAACATGAATTCAGAAATACAATCTTACAGTTAATTTTCCACAACATAAAATAAAAAAGGAACAATAAGGTATAAGAAAATGTAATCTGGTTCATGTTTTGTTATAAGCAAATTAGGGAATGTTCACACAAACTTCTCAATCAATTAAAGCTTGAAGTCACTGAAAGCCAACAAAGGAGCAGTGACAAAGAGCTGGCGTCAGTCCCCCATGGCGTGGCACAGATACTACTATCCATGACTGGAAAGATCACAGATTTTGTGGTGCATGGTACAGGTATCGCAGTTTCAGCAATAATGATATAACACAGCTACCCCAAAATACTGGTGTTACACCATTAACTGCTATGCTAAAGCTCTGCTGAAGTGCCAGAGGCCTGAGCGTTGCAATCACATGCAGTTTACATTTTGCTATTTAAGATAAAGCCAATGAATTGCAAACTAGTCCAAAATTCCCACTTTATTGAAAGAGGTACAAATCAGACAGGTAAGAATTTCCAAGGGGTTGAGTAATTATCATTTATTCAACTGTCCCCCTTGATTTCAAGCAAATACTGCTCATCATCATCGAAGTCAAATATCCCGAGGGGAAAAATATACCTTTTACCATTACTCTTACATACTTTCCTCTTCCCATCCTACATACTTTCCTCTTCCCATCTGCCTCCCTCCCAAAACACCAAGTCTTTAAAACTGAGTTTTAGCTAGTGTCATATACTGAGTTACTGGATGGCTTCACTATACCTACTTTGTCACAAACCATAGATCATCCAGTTTCATTCAGCTTGCTAATGCATACAGAAAAATGCCACCCCTGGTGCAGGGCAGGCATGTAAACTATGTCATGTAAACTATGATCAAGATGCTACAGCTGGTTTTAGGAACTCCCACAAAATCCACAAGTAGAGCTGAAAGATCAGTTTATGCAGTCCCAGTTGATGCTCTGATGCATACGCTACATCAGTGGAGAAACAAATTTCACAGTGGAAGCCTATCTGACTTCTGTCACAGCAAACCTTCATTTTTGGGGTGTAATGGGAGTTTAATGGTTTACTAAAAAGAAACAAACAAAAAATCCTTTTTCATTACTGTAGTAACTGGCAAATCACTATATGTGTATCCTGCATACTGCAGGTGGCATGCTCTAAACTGGGCAATCCTCACTACTGCAACTAATGCAGTGTCTCCTTTTATTAAGCAGCATCCAAAAAATGTCTCAGATCAAATACATAAATCTTTTCTAGTTGACTCTCAGGGGATGACGCTGACCAAAAAGGCACTAAAACTAACTACATGCAATCAGCTCAGGTACACTCCTCTCTGTCAGTTATTATATAAGTTATTATTATTTATTAGTTAAACATCCTCAAACAAGAAGAGAAAGACAAGTAAGGCTGTGTGGTTGGCTACTAGTGAGCAAATACAAGCTGAAACATCTGTGTGACATATAATCATATACAGCTACAAGAGTAACTGAGGCTGATCCATCTGTAAACCATTCCATGTGCCAGTTACTTGACACCAGGTGGGTTATTCTGGAGGGGAAGCCAAGAGAAAATGAGTGCATGTCCACAGCAAAGTTAAGGCACATATTTAGCTCATTACTGCTCTCCTTTCTTTTCTGCTTTTTCACTTTTATGTCAGGCTTTTTTTTATTCACACTGCTGTATGGGCACAGATCTGCTGCTGAGCTTTCTGAGGCAACTCATGATGGGCTGCAGTATAGAATGAATACACAGATCACCTTCAGACACTTTCTGCATGCAGTCAGTGGAGTGAACAAGCATACATAAGGGGGCTGCAGAGACTCAGAGTGGTATTTGTGTGCATTTCAGTTTCCACTGTTCCTGTTCTGGAGCCTCTTCCCATTCCATGGAAGTCAGCAGGTGATTTGCTCCAGACTTCAGCCACAGGAGGAGATAAGCAAATTAAATTTTCTAAAAATCTGTGAAATGTGTTTTTTAAAGACAGCTTGGCCTCAATACTTATTCCAGTACTATATTAGCAGCATTACCACGAGACTGTTCAGTTCTCCTAAGCCATAAACATCTTATTTTATATTATATCTCCTGGTAGTACCATGGAAAATTACGTATCTGGAGACAGATGAAGATAGTAGTTTAGAGTCAGTAATTCTATCTTTTCTCTCTATCTGAACATGGATTACACAGCAGAAAATGAGTTCTGAGTGACACACTGCTCAGGTCCTTTCACTGTGCAGCTGGACACTTCTGCTTACACTTAATGTTTAAATTTTTCACTTGAAATCCTCACTTTCCATTTTTTTTCTGAATTTATCAGTAGGTACATGCAGGACTTTCTCCTCATTTTAATGCATATTTTTTATTTTGAAAAAGTGATTGTTTAATCTGAGTTTTAGTAAAACTGCATTTAAAAATAATAACAAAACTATAATTTATTTCACTAAGAAATTAAGAGTTGTACATACTGGTTATCTTTCACCAGTATACTTTACTGTTACCACTATTCCAACTAAAGCAGTCACTAGAAAAATGGCTTCATGCTAATGTAACTTTTTTTTTTTTTCTTTTATTTTCAGGAAATTAAACTGTAAGGGATACGCATGAGCCAAAGTAAATAGTGGCAGGAGAAGAGGAAGCATTTACAGACATCAACTCCACTGTATAACTGCAAGAGTCCAACCAAAAAAAAGTCATCAAACATAATCTAACCTGCTTGCTTGTATAGAAAAATGGAAGACTAAGTGTAAATAATCTGGACACTTCAGCAAACCATTTTATAGGTCCTTCAGCTGCAGCCCCTGCCTTTGTTTCTCCTTTGAAATTATAAGCTCTTGTAAAATGCATGATTTTAAATAAAATGTCTTTACAAAGAGACAAAACATGAAATTCTGCAACAGCCACCCCATAATTTCCATCCTTAGTTAACTGTTCATTTGAAATACATGGCAGTTGTTTCTAAGAACTCATGTATATACTTCCTGAACACACTTTTTCCCCTTCTTTCCTATGATAATCAGACTGCTTTGATCAGCTATATCTGTTGTTAACTGTACTGAAAATAACTTGGCACCTGCTTACTGTTGTCTCTGTTACTCACGTAGTACAACATTTCTAAGGGATATATTTGTCTTTCAAAATCATTCTTCTGCATTATGGCTTAAACATAAGTTCTTAAGAAAGGAGAAAATGCTCTGGGTATTTTTCAGTTCCAAACACAGCCAACTGTTGCTTTAGTTTTGTCCAAATAAACCCCTGCTGTAAGCAGTATTTGGAAGAACACCTCTCACCTTCAGAGGATGCTAGTCAGATGTGTAAGCTGCAAAGCCAAAACCTTAGTATAATATGTTTAATGAAACTAGATTAATTTACTACCATTGAACCTGATCCAGTCTGCCACATTTCATTAAATATCATTCAGAGAAATGAATGATTAATCTGGGATTAACTGTATCTTTTCAGTATTTCTATAAATAATCTTCCTATTTTTTCCATCAATAAATCAATATAAATTTCTGTATTATTTTTTATTTTTATTAAGAGAGATTGGTCAACTATGAACATTATCTAAAGCACTAATGAATTTTCACTTCCTATATATTTTTTACCTCACAGTCTTGTCCAGCTATTGTTTCCCTATCCAAAGATGTTTTGAACCAATTGACATCCTGGAATGAAAACTGAAATTCAGGTATTTCTTATCTAAGCTTTAGCATTATCCATACAGCTCCCACACTTTAGTGCACACTATCAACTTCCCCATTATTTTAACATTTACTTTACCATACTGAGAATTTTACCACTGAAAAAAAAAATTGTCAAAATGCTATGAATACACTATTTAAGAACACAAATAGAGTTCCAACACTGATCAAATAAAATCTTGGTTCCAGTGAAGACCATGCTAGTTTAGCTTCAGCAGAGGCAGGCCTTATTCATCATACATGACAAAAATAACTTTTAAAGACCAAGGGCTTTTATTTATGTACTCTTCACATAATGATTTCTGAGATTTTCTTGGACACAGACTTCTGCTAGGGGCTTTGCACTTATATTAGTTATATCAAAATCCCCTTTTCTAGATACAGATATACACAAATGATGTCATGATTTTAAATTTTTTTATGGTAGTAATAGTCTTCTGGTACCCAACTGCACTACTTTTAATAGGGAGTTTTGGACTTTGAACTCCCTTTATTGAGCAGAATGAAGATTTGCAATGGTGATCAAAGGGTGTTAAGGAAACAAGCTGTCATTTGGACAGAATTATATTAAAGCTGACAATGGCAAAGCTGATCTTCCCTAGGACAAGCTGAGTTCAGGTTACTTCACATTCATTACTAATTCTGGGACAAGGGTTTTTACCTACTTTTGGATGGGATGTCAAAATTTGCAGAATGTTTTCAGAAGGTCAGTGTACTAGATCCCACAGGTATACATGCCAGACTTCAGTGGAGATGTATACCGTTTCCCACATCAAAAGCCTGGCATCTGACAGCTGACCAGAAAAAATCCATAGGGGAGCTTCTCTTTGTTATGAAGGACAGAGGTACACCTTTTGGCAATGATTTGTTTCGTTTCAGAATGGAAATGATCCAAGGAAATCCTCTACCTCAGACCTATGTTAGATTTTGCTTGTTATCACCCTCACATCAGCACTGGCTTGCTGCTGAAGTATATTTTTTCCTCAAAAAAATAAATGGTTTTTTTAAATACAAGAACAATAGGGCAGGGAAAAACTGGTTCTCTTCCTCTTTTTGTTGTTACAGCAAGAATCGCCTACAGGTCAGTCAAAAAGATCTGACCAAAACCAGTTTTCAGGCAGTGCTGATACATGCCACACGATCTTAGCTCAGGGCAAATATTCAAAGGAAAAAAAATGGAAACAAATAGAAAAGAAAAAAGATTATATTAATTTGTTCTAAGCTCTTGATCAACTGGTATTTCACAGTCTTGTCACCTTAAAATGGTTCTGGTCTTTATCACCCAAACTTTTAAGAGAATGTTTGAGTATTCCTTATTAAATAAACCCTCTGCATTTTCCATGACTGAAAAGAAGGAAATTATATCTTTTTGCAGATTTCATTATACAGCCTATGAACAGGAGAGTAAGGGACAGAACAATAGAAAATAACAAGTTCATGTGTTCACTTGATACATGCCCAGTCCTGACCTAAGAAATGAGAAGATATTGGTTGTTTTCCTACCTGATCTAGAATATCTACTGTTTAATGTTTCAAATAACTATAACTCTGCTTTGCAGAGTTTGATTGTAGAGCCATACAAATTATGTAATGAACAAATAACTTCAACTGTGAATAGAGTCAAGTTTTAAGACTGAAGAAAGTATGTTCCACCATGCTAGCAGAGTACAAAAGCCTTATGTAGGCACAGGTGTTCAATCTGAATTTTTAGGTAGAGGATTAAAGAATATAGCTTTAATTTCAGTACATAAAAGTTACTTCACCATTTGATTTTTTTTCACTCTCTTGTCTGCGGGCTACCCTCAAAATTCCAGTTTTTAAAAAACAGGTTCCGTAAGGACATAAGAAAGCCCCGTGGCCTTCTGTGTCCTTGTAGAGGACATACATGGTTAGAGCGCTGACATTTTTCAGTACTATTCACAAAAATGATTCTTCAGAGAATGGAGAAGAACCTAGATGCTGCAAACTGTAAAGTCTGATAAACCACACACATCCTCAGATAACTCACTGCTTCTATGGCTGCCATGTGATCTCATTCCTTCTGAGATATTTGCTGCTCTGATGAGTTACTGTGCTCCTGAAGAAGGCTGACTGCTCTGGGAGTAGGGGTAAAGGAGACTGAGAAGTTATTGGGGCATAAGCAGGTTACAGAGGTTCAAGGTAGAGAAAGGCCCTAAGATAAACTAAGTTTCTACTATCTGCATACATGTATAGCCAATACTGTACAGAATAAAAGCTAGGTTCACCAGGTTTTAAAAGAAGGAATTTTATTTTGCCTCTTCATCACAAAGAACCATGTGAGAATGAAAGTGTATTTCAAGTATGAGAGGAAATTATTCTCATTACTGTGTATTTTCATTGTAGTTTAACTCAGCAAAAAAAATGTTACTGAAACAAGCATTATCCCAAACAACTCCAGCCTTTTTACCCCCTTATTTAGTCTACTCTTGTGAGGTTCAATGCATTCCTTGTCCTATGTGACTAGAAATATATGTTTATGTGCCTCAAGTTTAATTTTCACATTGGGGACAAATGTACATATATGTCACAGCACATATCCCAAATACTATGGTGGAATTTATAACAATAAGCATATTATCTAACAAAAACACGTCAGTGGGGTTCTTTGCTTTGAGAGGAGTGTATAAACTGATGGGTTTGTAGTACAAAGACTCAGTACTTTACCCGTTAAAAATTCTCTTCTTTTCAAACAATTGAGGGAAGGTGAAATATTTTCAAAACCTGAGGCTACGAGATATACATATGCCATCTTGATTAAACATATGGAATGCATACTCAAAGAAAAGCCAACTGGAGTCCTAGTTGAGTAATCAAAACACCCAAGCTGAGAGGGGTTAACATGGAAGGATCAGCTCTGAACTTTGAAGTTTTCTGGTCTTCATTTTTCCTAATTAAGACAAGATTTAATAACCAAACCACTGTACAAACTATGTACTTAAACTCTAGGTTTGTTTCTAATTTTGTTGGGAATTCTTAGTAGATTCCAAAGAATCAGTTACCCCTGGGAAATTCACCCAGTAAGGTGGATTGATTTTTTTTTTTCTTAGGTACAAGGGCCCAACATCCTCTTTTCATCTTCTTTGCCACTGCCTCTTAAATAGAGTTATTGAGTAATACGCAAACAAAAGAAGACAACTAAAGATGCATGATTAGCATCTTTGAAATATTACAGGAGCTTCAGCAAACAACTTCTGGAAAGCTATTCAGTAAATGTAGAAAAATGTTTTCCAAGTAAAAACATTTAATTACTTGTATGTCTTAATTTTAGAGCAGGGAATGGCATTACATTTGTTGTAGAAGCATTAGTTCCTTATAAATCTATTTAGATTCTGCTGTTCTTTGTTTATTAATGGATGGTCCCTTTTCCTCTTCCCCCTGATCCTGCTCAGAATAAGGTGTTACTGTATAGACATGTGCTGCATGATTCAACTCTGTATCAAATGTTGGTAACAGCACATTCTTCTCTTTCTCCTTATATGGTCTGATAACAAAATGTCACATTACTAATGGACTCACAGATAAAAAGTCAGCTTGATAAATGTTGATTAAAAATTTCTCCAGATATTTAGTGAGTTTCTCACATAGAAACAATAAATTTAATCTGCTGATTGAGTTCAAATGAGTTATCCATTTATACCACATACTAGTCCACAATGAGAAAGGTTTTAATACAATTCAAAAGCAGTTGAATGGAATGACTGCTGAAGCTCAGAAGTACACACAAAATAGTTGGAGAGAAATCTAGCAATCTTTAAGACATTATTTACCATTCAACAGGAAGCCACCTGTAATTTAAAATTGTAAGCTGCTTTGAATCCTATTTTGGAAGCTGAAAAATTAAGTTCTATACAAATATATATATCAACTATGCATAAACAAACAAGATACTCATGCAAGAACCTCTCTGCTGTCCATGACCACATGGCATCAATAACTAAGCTTCAGTAGTAGTTTTCAACCTTTAAGTTAGTTGGAAATTCTTTACTTTGGGAACTCACCTTATTCATGTGGACCTGCTGCTGGTATTGTTTCTGCTTCTCCAAAAACTGCTGATGTTGCTGCTGGATGACCAGCTGGGCCAAAGTACTCTGAGGAAGAGGAGCTGACTGGGTTCGATTCAGTGGCCTGTGACGAGGCAGTTTGTGGGCAGCTCTTATGCCAGGTGAGACTCTCTCCTTTGCTGCTAAAGGAGACTGCGGATGAAGAGGAACCGCTCCTGCAAAACAGGGACATTTCACTCCCCTGTGAAAAACAACAAACTAATAGTTCTAATAGGAGTGAAAGCTTTCAGTGAGAATAGGGGTGTATATTGAGGAACTCTGCATCAGCACTATTCAGTGGGATAAGTACCACGTGCCTCGTCATACACTGCTGGAAAAGAATGTGATGAAGTAATCATTTTCTCTTTTCTGTAATCACTGAATTCTTTCAGGCCAAGAGACTGGAATAGAATCACTAAAAGAGAAAACAGATACTGTCCTTTTCTCTTCTACCCTTCCACTTTTTCCAATGGTTAGGATGTATGGTATCTGTATTACTACATTTAGTTTAAACTGAATACAAGAGTCATTAAAAACATCTTAATGTCGTATTGTTGAAGCTTTGATCATTACCAGTCACAAGAAGTTTTTGCTGTCTCATTTGTTCTTTCAGTAACAGATGCTGCAAGAGAGCTTGGTGGCTGCTATTTGGCTTTCCCTCCAAAGTAATGTGAGGATGAGTTGATGATGGAGGAATGTTTCCTCCATACTGTCCAGCCAAGGCCACTCCTTGTCTGAGTGATGGGGTCTCCCCCTTCTGCTTTTCTTTGAATGACGATGAAGCCTGTTAAAGAAGAACAGCATTGGTAACTGCTTTTCAGAGACCTGGATGTTTATACCTCCGCTTGATTAGATGGTCATATATCACACTTTATGAATACATACAGAAGAAAAGGTTAACATCCCTATCTTACACTTTGACCGTGAGATAAAAAGGGAGGAAGAACATGCCAGTTAAATGTAACACTGTGAGAAACTGTTTAATGAAACCACTTGGAAAAAAATCAGTAATAAAAGCCAAAGCATAAGGAACTACTAGTTAGAACATTATTAATTAAAGGACAGGACCTATCCTTAAAATTCCTAAAGACCTTCCCACAGCCTTCTGCGCAGGAAACCAGGGGATCAGAGGAAATAGTTTGCATTGAGTTTGGAATAGGCAAGGCTTGTTTTTTCGCATAACTTTTCATCACACAGCAAGCCAATCAGCAAAACAAAATAATTACCTGTAGTAGTGGGAAGCTATTACTTTTCCTGGAGCACTCCCTGACTCCCTGAAGGACAGCACAAGTGTAAGTTTTACCCTTTGCAAAGTAAATTTGCACAGTTAAACCCTCATCTACAGAATTGTCAAGAGCTATTGTACACGTGTGGCATTTTAAAGTACCCTTATAAATTGCACAGTTATTGAATTAAAGCTTTTGGAAGTTTTAGTCCTTCAGCATTGTGAATGTAGTTTATAGTTCTTTGCTCTTTGCGTATTAAAAAAAAAAATTAAAACAGCAGTTAAAGCAGAATACCATTTTTTACAGCAAGAATAATAACTGAACAGAAATATACATGTTGAAGCTTTCAGACAACCACTTATGGTATGTCATGGTAAAAACAGTTTATCTGATAATCTGAATTTCATAAATTCTAAACCAAGGTTTTTACCAATATTTTTTTGGTGTATGCTTACTTCACACTTTGCTATCACCCTTCCTTGAAAAACAAACACCAGAGTAAACTTTACATTCAATTTCCAACTGCTTATTCTAGAAACAGAAATAAACATTACTTGCGTAAATCAACCCCTTTGTTTTTTCTAATGCCAAAAGTACTATTTGGGGCTAGTTGGCCACATCAAAAGCTTGTAAGATTTGAGTGAGCAAATGAAGCATATTTTCATTTCTATTTTAATTTTATAAAATTACTTTGAAGCTAGCTATATATTTTGTGAAATAGCTAAGAAATTTTTCTTGATGTCCTCTGAAAAAGTAAGTGCTACTTTTCATGATCAGTTCAATTTTTTCATCCCTTACAAACAATAATTAGCTTGTAAATATCTCATAAAAGACTTGCAGAGAACTGATTTAAGGCTTACACAATTTTCTTTACAAAGTTCTGGATCTGATGTTAAAATGTTGGATTTCAGCAATATATTACTGCTAAGAACAGGAAATGTATTGAATAAGCCATAAAGTGAAAAGGAACTTTGACTTGAAACTACATTTAGCACTAGAATTCAGTAGCATTTATTACATAGTGGATTGCATAGATATAATTTTTTTTCCTCCATGAAAAGCTGTGCTTACAACCCCTAGTTTTTTCATAGAAGTTACCAATTCCCATTCTAAGAAATTTAAATTACTAAAATTTCTTCACAGTATATGGTTGTACAGAACCACAATATATCAGTATTTTTACTTTTTTTTTTTTTGCTGGAAAGCAGGTAAGTTTTGACCAGTAGCAAAATTTTCAATACTGAGCAGCAAATTTCACCTCCAGGTTACTGTAACTTGGTTTAGATCTAAAGATTCTTATCCATCTGCATGGATTTCCATAGATACCATGTCTATGTTTTCATACACTTTGCATATTAATTTAAGATTTATCTCTAGATAAAGGTCATTGCTGCAGACTGAATAAAGGGATGTGAACATAACTTGTCATTAAAATATTAAGAATTGTTCACTTCTCACCAATTTTATTTGCCTGATTGATAGCATACCCCTCAAATACAAACCTAGCTGCAGGAATAGTAGGTTCTTCCCCTACTATGCTTCAGCCCAGTTTAGGTTGCTACTGGAATCTCATAAAAAGTTACAGGTGCTGTAATTTATCAGGTAGAGATGATCATATAATTTGAACATTTTTACTAAATAATCTCTTCATATACATCAGGCCACATCTGAAATCTGTTATATTACATAAATGCAATGCATATGGCCCATACATAGGTAAGCTCCACACTGCCACTTGTTTATTTGAGATTAAGAATGATTATTGCTTTCAAGTTGTGCCCTTAAATATCCAGATGTTGCCCAATGCATAGAGATGTCTGGTTCCTACTCTGAATTGTTTATGTTCCAAAATGCTAAAAAATAAAGAGAATTATCATAAAGTAGGTTTTCTGGAAGCAAAATTATATAGGAAGGCTTGAGATTGGTCACTTACACTGATTTGAGGTTGTATTGCTGGAAGTCCCAAGGTAATGTTGGGCAAAGAAGGGGATGTGTACAGACTCAACAAGTTCACTGATTCATCCTGTATCAAAAGGCGTTGCTGGGAAACCAGATGCTGGAATAAATGGGAAAAACAACAGAAGTAAATCTCCAAGCTTTTTATCTCTGTTATTTTATCCTCATAACCTGATACACTGAAAGCCAGTTATGCATCATTCATTGATTTGCATCCCAATGGAGTTCCAGATAAGAAAAATTACTGTCCCTGTAAAAAAGCTGTTGATAGTTCTGTTCTTAAGGAAACAACTGATATATGTCTGGGATTATTCCTTGGTTAGTAAATCAATTTTCCATGCAAAACTGAAATCTTGACGATTCCTAGACCATCTCATCAACTTCTCATCAGTTCAACATCAGCTCTTCTCATCAACTGGACTTTCACTACTAGAAACTCAGTGGGAATTTAGCCAATGAATTAAGAAGTATATCTAGCTGAATCAAAGGTGTCACGAGTGTGGATGTATTAGACCTTTACAATGGTTGTTCCATTTTTTGTTGTAAGATTATTTCTAACTAGTCAATTTCTTTTTTTAGCCAGATTATGATATGGGGATATTTCAGGTACATTATTTACCTCCATTAACATGGAAATTTTGGGTAGAAAGTAAGGCAGATTGACACATCTGCCATTTAAAATAATGTTTTGTCTCTCTTTCTCTTTCTGTATATGTTAAAAAATAGTGCCCTATCATTCCCTGATGATGGGATAGTCCTCATAACTTTCCTAATTCTGTTCAGGTTAAAATCTTTAAAACTTCTTTTGTAGCCTTGTGATATAATTTTCAAGGACATGGAACTGTTGATATATTTTTGATTACTGTCGAATAAAACCAGACATTCTACAAGGATCACCCTTTGTCTTTCTGTAGGTTAAATGGGAAGAAACATAAAAAGTTAGATTACCACACTGGAATTTTTTTGAAGCCTTTGCCTTCTTGCTTGAAGAGTGATGTTTTTCAACATGTGGTCTAGTATAGTTGCTTGAATTATATTTTCTGTTTAACTCTTGCTTCCCTCCCAGAACTTAACACAATAAGAGCTACAAAGGTCTTATTAGACTTAGGAACTCTGGCATGATACGGTCCCCAAGGGAACAACATCCTTGAAAAAGAATACCCTGTGTAACAGTATGACACAGTGACTGCTTTCTTCCCAAACAAAAAGCATATGGGACTCCAATAATAGACCACCTCCAAGAGGGATACTGCACACTCGGGCTTTGACTAAAGTAAATATAATAACTTGTCAAGCATGTTGTGGGTAGCTGTAGATTTTCCCCTGGACAAACCTGGAATATCAATTAACTCTGTAAAATACTTTGTGTTAATACAATGCAACTTCAGACCATCACTGAAAAGTGGTTAAGCACAAAAACACAGGATGTTATTCCAAAACATAACCTTCCTCATACAGTTTGTTTGGAGATACGACCTATCACTGAGACAATAACAGTAGAAGTCTATCTCTGTAATTTTCTTTTGGTACCTAGGGAATATCAACAGATAGCATAGGAAACAAAGAAGCTCCACTTGTATATTACATTAATTCCTGGTTAACAGTGACTTGCCTTGATAACATCCACCTTTGACCATGAGTAAATCCAAATATGTCAAGACTACGGAGATATAATGGAGGGAGTCTACAAAGATTTGATGGAAAAAGGACACTGCAGCAGCTCGAATGTGCCTCCTAGAATATTAATCAAATTTATAACAACTGCAGCATCTATACAAAGCCATGTCAAAGATATATGTTTCATTTTTAGCTTTTGGTATGCCACTATTACCTTCTAAGATTAGAATTAATAAATGCAACAGTGGCAGGGTGCATAGCAGTAAAACACACTCCCACACTAAGGTCAGGCATGATTGTTTCATCAGGCAGAATTAATCATGTTATGGGACTTTAATGTTGAAAACAGGAGTTTATTAGTAAAAGCATTTCCATTTAATTTCTAATACCACTAACAATATGTCATTTATATTTTAGTAAGTGATTGATTTTTTTAAAATATTTTCAGGTAATATTAGCCAAAGCATCAGTTAAACCTCATCTTCCAAAATAAATGGAGTAGTCTACCTGCATAGATTGGGATCCTCTGTATCACAGAATCCCAGAATGGCTAAGGTTGGAAGGGACCACTGGATGTCATCTAGTCCAACCATCCTGCTCAAGCAGGGTCCCCCAGAGGCAGAAATACATGACTACAGCTGCAGCTTGTCTTTATACACGGTCAACAATATCTTGCAGTGGTGGCAAAGCTGGAGTTGCCAGCAGTGTCATTTGGTAGAACAATGGTTAAGTCATGCCCTTGTCCTACATGCAGACATGGTGGTTTGGATTGGCACCTAAATTACCCTAAAGAGCGACTTGTTTTACTTTCTCATCTATATACTTACTCATTGGTCCATTGATCCTGCTTCCTGATGCTTAAAATAGCCCATCAACAGTTATCCTCTTTCTTAAAACAGAGTACAAGAACTAAATGTAACAGTGCACAGTGATCAGCAAGTAACCATGATGAGTGACTGTACTTTGGCTGTACTACTGGGACCTGCCGAGAAGCAGGAACACCTATGTGTGCATGTAAATATGCACATGTATGGATTATGAGGAAAAGACAAAAGGGTGTGGCTTTAATACTTCTCAGCTGTGGAGCTACAGTAAGGTTGTCATAGCTTTCAATATGCACAATTACTTACCCTTGTATCTCTTGAGGCTTTTGGGGCGATTTTAAAAAAAATTAATTAGACTCTCTTCACTACACTTGAAGCAAACCTCACCAGTTAGTCAGAAACCTACACATTTTTCCACTAGCCCCTTACAAAGATCACCTCAGTGAGCTGAGTATTAAATACTTAGGGCTATCGGGTTGCACAAAACAAGTATGTGTTTATCTGCAATACATGTAATTCATGTCTCCTGCTTAATCAAGGGATATTCTAGGAAATACTGCTCTGCGAAGCACAAATGAAAGAAACTGATCTGAAGCCCGCTTACACCAACTGGAAACTTTCCATTGCCTTCAATGGCTTTTGACCAGGCTGCAAATGCCTAAAATTAATCATTTTACATTACTAAAGCAGGTTGTCCCTCTGAACTCAAGGGACATGCTGTGCAGGGGCTCAATCCTGCTTGCATTTCTCAGGCAAGTAAGATTTAGCCCCAGCACAGCAGGTGACCTGAAAGGGTACAGCATGCTACAGGAGACAAATAGCTACTGCGGTGAACCTTGATGATACTGAAGACATCTGGGCCTAATAAAAACAACATTTTATTTATAAGGTGCAATTAAAATCACGAGTTTAACTTTTAAGTTTCATATAGTGAGACCAGTGTTTTAACAAATGGTACTGAAAGTACCATTAAGGGAACTGTGATAGTAAAGGATTATCTGCAAAACTGCAGCATTTGCAGTGCACCTTTGTTCATTCAAAAAGCTGTAAATGTCTACCCACCACACTGTCTGTTCCAAAGGGTAAATGACTTAAAAGTTTCGCTATTTCCGTGGATGTGGTAAAAATACTTGTAAAATTTGTTTCATTACTGATAATGCTCTAATTCTGTCCATGCACTAGAGTGTAATCATTTACGGTATTGACTCATGTTTTACTGGTAAATGGCTCTGTCATAGTAACCTGTTATCCCCAGCAAAAAGTGTTTTATTTGCTGCCATGAAAACCACAACTATCCACCCACTCAGATATGAGCACAACACTTTCTGCAAATGTCACAACAACGATTATGAAACAACAGCATTGTGAGTCATGCAGGATTACAGAAAAACAAGTGATATTTTGGGTGATTTGGAACATATCCTATTATTAGAAACTTCTGTAATTTGTGTATCTGATGAAAAATTGACTAGATGTATAGCCTTTGAGAGCTGGCAGCTAACGCTGAGCTAGAAAGAGACATGTAGGAGTTTGGCTGATGTTAAACTACCAAAGAAAATCCCACTAAAATAAAAATGCACTGAAGCTGAGATTTATGGAAAAATGTTGGAGCCCACAGGACCACAGTACTAACAGTCAAGTAACCCGAGAGGTAAAGAAATCCCTGACTGGATCCCAGCTTCTTAGCACACATCCAGCAAGTGAAGTGACTGATGCCAGCATGCAGAGCTCAACTTCTAAAGCAACTTTTTAGGCTCATTTGAACAACTTTGATTGCATGTTGGGGCTATAATTTCTGATGTCTGGCACAGTAATGGCAAATCATATGCAATGCAGTGTTCTATTAATGATAAGAATATTAATATTAATGTTCTTGCTACCTTTCCAAATCTCCCCAGAGACTGCCAGCCTGACCAGATTGTATGTATTTCTGATGGTGGTTCAACACTGTGGACAAATGTCCAGAAACTACAACATGCAAAGTAACAAGCCCCATGTAGCAGACATTATTCCCTTTGCATTTTGCAGTATGCCTGAGTCAATAAAACCCCCAATTGGTCAAGATCTCCTGTTTAATACAGCACTAACACCCACATATTACCAACTTCTATCTAAAACATTCCCAATAGCGAAATACACAACTTAATTCCACTGAACTAGGATTTGATCTAACCCGAATGATGGATCCTACTCTGCATCTTTTAAATTTCTTTGCAATCACATACAAGGGGCTATGAGGCAAGACCACATGTTAGCCATCAATGCAATTTTTTTTTCTTTTTGGTTATGGGCCAGAGAGAGGCTACTAATCAGTGTGCAGAGGTCACCCACCTGCCCTCTGGATCATAGTTCACACACACAATTAATTCATTATGGGGAAAAGTCACTGCTGGAGGTTGAACTGCCCATTCCAGGCTTTTTTTTGAGGTGAATGTCCTACCACTGACCTGGAGAAATATCTCTGTTAACTAAAACTCTGTTAAATCGCGTTTTCTTATGCAATTTTTCTAACATAAACAGCATAAACCAACAATTAATAGAAAACTCTGACACCAAAGCAGGAACTGATGTAAATACAAGCACTGGATACAGAATATTGTGGAAATTGATTCTCTCTTAGTCACATTAATTTACTGTCCCTTTACAATACTGTCATGGAAAGCATGACTTAGGCATGTGGTCTATGCTAAATGAGGTTTATCACAACTGATTTACCATCTGCATTCCTGTTGTTATGGGCATGTATTATGAAACAGAATAAGGAGTAGTTAAGATTCCTTCCGCTTACAATCTCTCTTTACAAAAAAAGCATCCAGGACTTCTGGCATGTCACTTATGATAGTAAGTACTGCCCTGATAAGAATACTGAGGTACAGCAAAATAAAAGGCAAATGTGACAAAGGACTTAGTCATCTAACTCCAATACTGTAATTAAATGAATTTACTTCAGCACTCATCTGAACTTGGACTACCTTAATTTAACTCATATGTGTTAGGATCACCAATGCCTAAATCGCTCTTCTCCACCTGGGATTTTTTCATCAGTATCGAGGACTGAGCACCTCCTCAGGTTATCCCAGAAGGTAATGTTCTGTAATATAAATGCTTCCAAGTTTCTTTCCCAGCTCACCTCCATTCTTCCAGTAGCACTACTGCTGCATTTTCTTGGACTTTTGTTACCAAAACACCTCCTGAACACGCATCTAATATATGAAGACATATGTCATATATCACACACTTTGATGTTAGCCTGCAAGTGTCCTGGTATTCTTGAAAATTACATCTTCTGCCATTACTCTGCTTGTGAATATGATCCCAACAAAATTAGAAACAAACCATCCATACTCTCCAGTCTAGAAATCTTAGCAATTATCTATACCACAGTAATGAGTCTTACCTCAGCTTGAATGTTAGATGGCAAAACTGAGGTTTCGCTTTCTGTTGTACTGCTGGTTGGACCATTGCTTGGGGAACTGGGACCTGATCCAGGGGAGCTGCTACTGACTGAGGATTCTGAAAAACAGATTACATGAATTTCACATTGGAAAGGTATATGTGATCTTGATTAATTATATACTCTTTATGGCATAGGGTTTTCTTTGCTGTTGAAAAGTATCTATCTGTTATGGTATTTACTTACATTGAAGATTTTTAATTCATCCTCGTTTTTTTGCTAATGAGGAAAGATACTCTTGGTCTTTCCCCTTCTGATCTGTCTACTTCACATAAGAAGCATTTACTATTTATTTTTCCCACAAAGATGGTATAGCACTCAGTATCAGGCAGAAACACAGACACAGAGCTTGTAATGAGTAAAGAAAAGACATTCTTTCCTTTTTAATTGCAAAGAGTCCTAGCTCTGTAAGAGATCAAAATGACAGAGATAGCAGGACTGCAAAGGTCATGATAACATGTCGTCCATTCATGAGGTCTACTGCCACCCCTTTCTGTTTAGGACAGGGATGAGCCAAGTGTGGACTAATCATTACCTATGCAATACTAGTGGCAAAATATACACTTTTGCTACAACTTGGGCATGAATATGAAGGAATATTTACAGTATGCAAAAATATTAAAATAGCATTTGAAAGGCTGCACGTTATTTTGATTTAAAATGTCCTGAGTTCTGTTTTAGGAGAAGAGGATGATCTTGTTGTGTGTTGTTCTAATTCTACCCTGATATAAATTACATTTATGTAATGGAAACAGTTAAAAAGGTTAAAGATGGAAGAGTGTAGCATTAGTGGAGGTAAGCCTATTTCATGGGATAGCTTTCAAATTAAAGCACTTAAGAAGTTAAAATAATTAATATCTAAATGTGGCAGTAAATATTCTATAGCTACTTCTTTGCTTCTTCACTCTTTCTGCCGTAATTCACATGTAAAAATATGGTCTCGCTGTGGCTGACATTACAGGAGACTTCCTAGCTCTTACTTGGATCTCTTACTCTTTGATTTACCGAAGTGAATCCATACCCAGCTAGACTCTCTGGTCACAAAAAAGTTCTTGCATTGTATTTTCAGTAACTTTCATAGAAGTGGAGAAACACAAACTAAATTTTTTTTTTCAATTTTTTAAAAAAAATTAAAGTAGCACTTTTTGTATAAATAGGCATTTAAATAAAGGCCTATTTTCTGTTAAAAGAATAAAAAGTAAGGGGAAAAAGGCTTCAGAAAACGTTTGATCAGGGTGAAAGGTCCAAAATGTCATATACTCAGTATTCATAATTATAATGACAGTCTGAAAGGCTCCAAATTACTGTCAGAGCTAGGAAGTGAAGATACCTACTTTCATGTTTTTGCTCTTTCAGTGGTGTCAGACAAAAAACTCCTATGGTAAATATCTTGTAAATGTGTAAAATATAAAGACATCAGCTAAAACTAAGAAAGCGGAGATCAAGAATCTCATAGAGGCTTCAAAAATGGAATTAATAAATTAGCTGTAAAAAATCATAATCTGGAAATAATTTATAAGGAAATTATTTAATTACTTTCATATGTATATTCACATCCATGTCCCAATTTCACACATGACATACTGTGAAAAGCTGTCACAAGAACTGCATGTACGAGGACATTGATGTGAATTTGTTCATGTGCTTTAGTTCCATCTTGGTGTGACACAATTCTGATATACCAAGTGAATTCAGATACATGTCTGACAGACTAGTGATACCTGACTGCATGAAGATATCACCTGATCACCTGAGCAAGCCATGAAGCTACTAAATATCAGTGCAAAGTCAAAGCAAGAATTGTCAGGATGAGGTCAAATATTGTAAATGCTCTTTTTGTTTAGCAAACAGTTTCAATTTCAAAGTACGACCACTATCCTGTGAACTATGGCAACTGATATAGAATTTCTCCATTTTTAATTACCTGTCACCTCGAAAAGACGCTTCTTGAAGGAACTGACATTTCCATCCTTCCTCCTGAGTAAAGGACTGCTTCTCCTTTCTGTCACCTTTTGTTTTAACCTTGAACGTACCTTCAAATTGGGCTCTGAGGCTGGAAATTAAAAGAAAATATGTGACTACAAATCGAATTACTGCTTTGTGTCAGACCCACTGACCCCGTAGGACTTCATCTCATCCAAGGAGGGCTTGGAGGCAGAGGTTCTACTCCCCAGATATCCTGCTGCTCCTTAAAACTTCATTTTAAATTAGAGGCTAGGAAAGCGAGGAAGAGAGCTGAAGAGCTTCAAATCCCAGTATTTTTCTCATCCTATTTCAACTTCGAAGTTACCCATTAATATCATAAATATTAATTATAGACGAATGCAATTTTATTTTACATCATTTTTATCTCTCTTGTAGGTGAAAACTTGGATAAAGACACAGCTTGGGCCTTGGAACCTTATAACTGGATTAAGGTCTGATTACAGAAATAGAGAGAAACCTCCATTGGTGTCTTTCGATTTCTCTTAGAAATATAAATTATAACAAGCCTTGCTGGCAGAACATTTCTTGGTCAGCAATTTTAGGCCCAGAACTTCAGTGTTTTCTGAGTTATACACCAAACAACTAGATTTACGACAGTGTCCTAAGAACATTTGCAGAGAAAAATATATGCTCTGAAAATGAAGAAGTAGGATTGATTCCCAGAAAACCCAGGATTATATTTAATGCACCTTGGGCAAGTTCCACCTTTGTTTCCTAAACGCACACAGTCTTTTTATATGAGAGCCAGCTCTGCTGTGCTTTTTATTTTGTAATATTTTTAGCACGATAAAATATTTCATATACTCATTTATCTGTTCATTTAAGTATACCCTCTATCCAACAGACTGCTGAGAGGTAGTGAAAGATAATAGTAGAATAGAATTTGTTTGTATTTCCCTTTCTGAAACTGAGGCTTGGTTAAGCAATGTCTCAAAATAAAGAAAGCTGGAAACTGGGATCAATTCTCTCTCCTATGCAAAGACTTGAGCCCAGCCCCAAAGAAGGAGCAAGAGTTAGCAGTAAACCAAAATAAATTATATCTTCACTCAATTCAGAATTATCCCCTTGTCACTTTGAGGTAGGAGCTCAATTCTACACTTCTAATTCCAGTCCTTGCCCAGCATGTCATATTGCACATCTTTTTCCTGATGTCCCACTTGTTCCCTCAGCAATGGGGAAGCTAGAAATGCTCACTAAAGAGCAAAAGGGCTGCACCTCACCAGAGTGTTACTGTGGCCTGCAGTACCTACAGTCATATGCTGGCCTTTGTCACATACTATGCTGCACTCGTCAAGTGTTTCCCTCTGAAGATCCTGTGCCTTGAGTACATTTCAGACCAAGATCCACAGGCTAGCAAAACACTGAAAATCATTAATAATAAAAATATTTAAAAATAGTTTCTATCACTTATTGCCACTGTTAAGACCAATACTTCTGATAATGAAGTACCGAAGACTTGCTTGCTATCTAAGATACCATTTGCGACAAAATTGAAAATATAAAATACAATAATGGGCTACGACTACACTACACATTTTCAACCACAGATTGCACCAGGTGGGATGACATTTAAAAGGAAAGCCACTCAATCCTTTTGCACTTACAGATAATTCCATTTATACTATTCTGTACTCTTAAAAATTAGGAAAATATGTCTGTACCCGTGACAGACTAATGTGATACAAATCCTCTGCAACACTCACTGGAGAAATTCTCCACTTCATGCTCAGTCACAGCGATTGCCTTTCTATTTTTACCACATTCCCATCATATTCTGCATCTGAATCAATCATATAAGCACAGAAAACAGACTTTGAAGTCAATGTCTGAGTTTATGAGCCATCTGAGAAGAAGCATGAAAGACGGCAATAATTTTTAAATGGAAATAATCAATTTTAAAATTAAAAGGCATGGAAAAGGGTGGTTTTAAAATTATAAAATAAACCTCACAATAAAAACCAATGCCAATGTTTGAAGAGTGTTAGCTTCAAATACTGGTGTTCCTGAATGTTCTCCATGAGACACTGCCAGCTCCTAACACGGTGCTTACTAGGACTCAATGACTAGCAAAAAGGATTCTGGTTTAAGTGCACTAAATATATAAATCTAACCAGTTTGAGGATGATGTTCATTGCTCCAATGAACAAAATACAGAACTGGACACCGGTTTCTTGATTCCTAGCTGTGCCTGAGGCATTGACTTGGTGCGTGACTGCAGAGATCACCGCAACATCCTGCTCCACCAAAGCTGTGGCAGAATTATTGTTGACTGCAAGAGGTATGGATCACAACAGCAATCCTATGTGCTTCAGTGCACTCCTACATGAGGGCAATAATAACACATCTATTATTGCCAATGCTCTTCTGATAGTTAAAAAGGCAAAATTAATCATTTTGACCTTCAAGTATGGAGCTGTGGATTGCAATTATAAATGTATATACATATATATACATATTCACTGCCCCAAGGCACTGATGTAAGATTAATCAGAAACTATTTTAATTGTTTAAACTCTGAATAAGTGAGCAAAAAGTGAAAATAAATATTTCAAACCTTTTATTTTAATTTAATTGTTCCCCTAGTATTTGCAAGACACTTGGAAAGTCATAGTTACAAATGGTCAAGAATTATGATAATTAATCTGCCTTATGTTTCAAATTATTATTTGGCTCAATATTTTAACTAGTGATTCTTAGAAATGGTCTATAGAGGGATAATGTTCAAAATAACTGCTCTGCATTAGCCACTCGATAAGTATTTCTACTGCACACTATTGGCTCCTTTGCTCATCTTAATTAATCCACTGCCAAGGATGAATACGTTCATCACCCAAAGGCATTCTCCGTGTGGAAAAGAAGTGTCACATGGGGAGTCAGTGCCAAATAACTTTTTGAGGCTAAAGATTTACTCCCCAGCTTGCTGCAGAGTAGCATCCTCATGCAAACAAAAATCCCTAAGAACTAACCTTTTTTTTTTCTGTATTGGTACCACAGAATTATTGAAAAGACCTTCAGGTAGTCTATTACTTTATACGGTGATTCAACCGTATAAAGAGACTGACACAGCAAGATAATTAATGCATGTGGCTAACTTGCTGTATGTTAAGCATCCCATTGTGGTCCAGAACTCAAAACTAGATTAATTCTACACCATATAACAGACGTTCTGTATCACACCTTCCTGAGGAAATGGGACCTCCTTTAAAGTGCTGGAGGTGCCAAATGCGGCGGGGTTTGCTGGGTTAGGTGACTCCAAATATAGTGGACTGAATCATCCCACCAAGGAGCCCAAATGCCATAGACAAAAGAATAAAACAAGAGAATGTGTCCAGGAGTGTGGCAGATAAGGAAAACAGGATGGCAAATTTTTGTGGCAGCAGTCTAGTAGATTGGGCTAATAATTTAAAATCCTTCTAAGAACCAATATACATCTGATATTGGTTTAATTGGTCACTATATAGGTTAATCTCTTTGCTCTACAAATCTTTGCACCTCTACTATATTTACCACTTTGGAATAAGTAATAATCAGTTGCCACTTGAAGAAAGGGTTAATTTATTATTTGAGAGTGTTTTGTGGCAAAGAAAACAAAAAGACACAGCCATTTTCTCTGAAGGTCATAAAAACCCATGTCAGTGATCTCAATGCAAATCAGTTGATACCCACTTGAGTGATTCACTTGAGAGGATTTCAGGAAAGACTAGTCTGAAAATGACTTTGTTGATGTAGCTATAGCATAAGTTGGAATAATGATATGTTGCATTATATGGCTTGTTCAGTTTCATTGGTATTACCTGGATTATTCTCTTTCTAGTGCTAGTAATAATGGACTGCTAACACTCTTTAAATAATTGTAACTGACAAACAGATATGAAAGATACAAAAAAAGATAAGTTTAAACAACAACAGAAGATAATAGAGGCAATCCAAGGATTGGTTACCAACTCCTTGGCATGACCCGTAATGATTTCTGCAGAACTGCAAACACTGGTTGTAGATGAAGACGGCAGTGTCCCAATGATTTTTCTCATACTTTATGGTGGCTTCGTAGAGGAAGAAAGAATTAAGTAACTGTACTGTTAAAAATGGAACATACGCAGGCTTCTATGTAGGTACACATTAAAGTCATTGCAACAAACTCATTATGTAGGTACACATTAAAGTCATCACAAATCAGTGATCAGGTGAAGGAAAGTTAGTCTCTGCTAAGAAACATGGTACTCAGATACAAGCAAAAGAGATAGGAAAATGATTTGGTGAAGTCATTATGTCCTGTTCTCCACTTTGCTTAATATTAGCAGATACTAGCATTAAAGAATATAGTCTGGGGCCACATTGCTCCCAAATGAGCTGAGGTATTTTTGACAAGGCTTTGCTTCACTGTTTCATTTCATGAAACACACAGAAATATTGAAGAAGAAGGGATAAAAATCCTTTTTATGCACGGGGAGAAGATATATATGAAGGGAATGTAAAAGACAATAATGCACTACTTTCTGATGGTTCCTGGAACACAGTACTACTTTTGTATCAGAAGAGCGTGTGCCAACTTCAAATCAGCATTTAATGAACCCAGGCAGGAAATGGGGGATGGGAGAGGGTGCATAGCAAGGAGGTCCTCATCTCGAGGCTAAAACCATATATAGGAAACCTGAAGAACAGAAAGTGAGCTTTTGTCCAGACTTCGAAAGGCTCTAAAGTGAAAGCATTTCCTTTTCCTCACTGGCAGGCTGGCTTAGAAAAGCTGTGGGGCAGGCAAGGTAAATGATGCTAAATTTGGCTAAAAAGATTCCAGCACCAGCATGAGCAGCAGTGGCAAAACTGACATCTTACTTGAGAAAGATGAGTTGTTTGCTGTTGCGCAGGCACCAACTGATATTACTAAGATCGTTTTTAAAATAATAACTTGAACTCCTTTAACATGATTAGGTCAACAGAAAAAATTAGGAAACAAAGACTTCATGATCTTGAAGTAAATCTTCACTAGTATTCTCTATTTCTTCAGCTATCATTTTATTAAGCTGTGAAGGGTTATATATGATACTGATTTGAATATAATCTATGGTG